AAACTAAAATATGTGATAATACAAAAAACAGAAGTACATACATATTCCTACACACTCGCATACATACACACACATACACATACACACACACACACACACATAGACACGATTTCGCCTTAATGCGCTTTTGTGTTGCATCAGCAATGCAGAAAAGCATAAACAGGCTAAAAGGGGTGGAAATTGCGTAATTTTGTGATACTGAGAGGCAAAGAGAGGTCACATGCTATTAAGCTATCCTTAGCATCGACATGGTTAAGCATAACGAGAAAAAATTGTAAAAATAAGTTGATGCTGGAGCATGCAGCGAAGCGAACATGTTTTTCTGTGCTGAGGCACAATTTAATTTAAAAAAAAGCTTCGCTTGTGCACGAACTCTTCTGCTTTCAAAACAGAATAAATACACTGGGGACTAAACTGGTGCCCCACCTCTCATCCCTCAATTTCCCATCAGACTTTTGCAAGCGAACAGACAAACTAACTTAGATAATACTGAAAACAATTTTGCTCCCTACACTAATATGGACTCTCATTCTTGCGCGATAAAAGTTAGGACCTTAGATCCATGTAGACGGTTAGTAAGGCTTTCAAGGCGAAGAGGTTGATGCTCAAAATAAAAACACTAGTGACATATCGAATAATGCCATGCCGGAGTGCTTCTGCAAGCAAATTTTCTGAACTAGTACGTACTTCAAGAAAAGAAACGAATGCCAAGATCGCTAGCAGATTGGCCACCAAGAAAAGAAGCACTATTCGGACAGGCTGGTGAAGTTGCTAATGGCACGAATGGGAATTGGATTATGGGTAGACAGCTGACTCGAGCACATAAGTACAGCCACGTCAAAGTTTGCAAGTTGGCACCACTTGAAAACTAGCCAAAAAACAAATGCTACGGATTGAGGGTTTCGTCATCCTTCTCTTCGACATCCTGTTCATTATCAAATTTTGCATTTTTAGTGAATTCACACTATTAAAGCATGTATGAAATATCATATCTGCTTTGACTTGTACTGCTTTCTGAGACCAATTTCGATGTATGAATATCAAGATTGCAGGTGAAGCTAGATGAAAATGACGGCGCTCTGAGTGGCCGAATTCAATTCAGTGAGGAGCTACAGAGAACGAATTTTTCAGCAAAAGTTGTAGAAATATGGCCCAGTGAAAGAAGCTTGTACAGTGTTCGAAACGTAAGAGTTTTCACTTTTTTTTGGCCTTCGGAAGAGACTTAATAAAAACTAACTGGAAAAATGAATTAGACAAACTGAAAATTAAAATAAACTAGATAAAAACAAAACATGGACTGAAAAAATTAAATAATAAAATAAAAGAAATTGAATTAGAATGGCGATACCAGGAATATCAAGATTTCTTTTTTCAAATGAACTTAAAAAACAGAAGAAATTAACATCTTCGAAGAGTTGTTGTTTCACCGCCGCGTTTCCCCTCCCTATTGGTAAAAGCAGAGGGGGTCCTGGAAGTTGCCGCGCAGCAAACGCACACAGTATGTGTTTCAGCCTCTTCAAATCGTTGCGAAATTTATCCTTGATCCTGACAGATCTATTTAAAAAATTCTTTCCCAAGTCAGTGTTTTGAGAAATATATTAGCAATTTTCGTAACGCTTATAAAAAATATTATTGTTTTGCCCTTTATCACCACATCTGACCTCCGAGACACCGCAGCCAATAGTAATAAGCTTCGGGCCTCATCACTGGTCACTGATTTATGGCCTCATGTTTTTCCTAGTTTTAGATGTATGAGTGGCGCCAAGGCGTAGGCTTTATGGCGAGATCAGAAAGAGAAGAGGATATGGCGAAGTACGAGTCAATTGTTCGTCCAGTCAGTCGCCCAGTAATGCGTATCGTTACTGTTCTGGTTCGGATTATTCCATTATTTCAGTTGAAAAACTATATAAAAATCACTGTCTCACTTGCAGTTTCGAAAGAAACGCTGAAAGGAAATGCACTTTTGCTTATTTGAACGAATAGGAAAAACATGACAGCCCTTGAAGTTGGCAGGGGATCCCATGTTAGTGATTTTACTGGAACGCCTCGATATGCCAAGCGCAACCCTACCCGTCTTTTGATTTTGAACCGCATACAGCCAGTTAATACCTCTCGCTCGGCCTAAAAAAGTCACTCCAGGTTTCCTTCTCTCCATTACTGGAGGCTAGTGCCTGGAATAACTATTAATAGGGCTTGTCGCGGCACTGAGTTAGGATATAAGCAGCTTACAGTAGGGCAAAACGTCGCACTCCTGGCTAAATTATTTTCCCATACGTGCGATAGATTTCAGTCCTTAATATGTCCAGTATACTTCACTATTACCTAACGTCTTCTAGTGAAGTAGCGTTAATAATACTGCTCAAATGTATA